GTAATAGCTATGAGCGTGAATACAACACGTCTGAAAAGAATGAGAATCCATCTGAATCAGTTTAAAGTAAGCGTGTCATAGACAATAGATTTTCACGCAATCAAAAAGCTAACTTCTTTCACACCGCTGAGGAAGTTCTTGAACGGTTTTCCGTTTGTTCCTGATGTTATACGTTGAATAAGTGAGTTCTTTTATCAGGTGGGGGTGGGGAGGGGGTTAACGGTGGCCTGCCAGATCATCAAAACGGGTTATGCAGCACCTGAACGTGTGAGAACCACTGCTTCAGATCAATCGGTAATTGAACTCAGGTGCAGACATCTGATCAAAGATAATTTGATGAGATGAGATGAGAAAGGATGCAGCTTCATAATGGTAGTAGTATTTCATAAGAAGCTCAGTTGCATAAGCGCTCTGAAGCGCTTTCACTTCGATGACGATTGAACGATTCAGGAGGAAAGTAAGGCGCGTATAGAGGCGCAAAAGCTGAAAAGAGACGAAGAAAGACGTAGACGTCAAGAGATGATTGCGGGCTCGTTAGGTGTGACTTCAGGCGTGAATGCTGAGAAGGGAGCAGGACGCAATTTTGTGGTGCAGAAACGTGAGCACGGTGAAAGTTTCGCGAGTAAAGCTCAGGTTTGTTTGCTTATTTCTTCGTTTCCACTTGATCAATAACTGGTATTTTTAATAACTCATCCAAAGATTCAATGCCGAAAAAAGTTTCTATCCTTCAGTTGCACACCAACAATGATTTCAGCAACAAGAAAAATCGAAAGCAGAAATGGAAGCTGCGAAGAAGGCGTTCATGGCAGCAATTAGCCGTAAGCAAGATGTGTCTGAGATATTGGTCAACGATCTAAAACAGAAGATAACATTCTTGTATCAACGCATATGTAAACTTGAGGCTGAAAAATACGATTTAGAAAAGAGGCAAGAACGTCAAGATTACGATGTTAGTTTGCAGTTCGATGCTTCGATATTCGTCACCAATTCGTCATCTATTACGTTGTTCAGTTACACTGAACGTATTCCTCAATCAAAACGTATTCCTCAATCAAGACTAGGCTGCATCAACTCCCTATTGTTCAGAATTTTGGGGTGCATCAAGTGTTTGTTGAATGTCGAGTTGTTCTCTGTGGTAANTTTGCATGGAATGTTTATTGCAGTTGAAAGAACTGCACGAACGTGAGAAACAAGTGGCCCGCAACAAGGCACTCCAGAAAGGTTTAGACCCCGATGAGGCTATCGCGTCGCCACACCCGGTAATTAATGCATTCTGTATTGCCGTGAGTTTATTCTACTTGAATCGATTTGAAACTTTTGAATGTTAAGCTTCGAACTTTCAAACACCCTCTGACACCGACATGTCACTTAATCTGTAAATTTCCAGCCCAAGATCAACGTTTCATCGAAATTCGATCGACAAATTGATCGCCGTTCTTATGGTGACCGCCGAACACTCTTCGAAAGTGTTTGTTTTTCATTCATTTCAAAAATGATATCCGAATATTTCTAACATTTCAATGATCACAATATAATCGGTTGAATTGAATCTGAAAATGACCCTCTCTCATCTGCGAATATTCAATTTGTCTGATAAAACGAACAGCAATCATCCAAAATTTTAATCATAAACTTATTGTCTTCAAAATGTCAACTAATTGTTTTCAAAATTGTCTTCATCCCAAAATTTTCTGATCATTGACTAATTCTTTTTCAAGTTTCAATGTGAGCTGATAAGATGCATTTCCTTTGAAGAATTGATGAAGAGCTTCCTTTAGCCTGTGACAAAAAAGCCTCCTGCAGTAGCACATGGTACTGCCCGACCTCCACCGGAATGGGGACGTATGGAGACCGAAGAGCTGGAACAACTTCGTAAAATGCTTGAGCCACCAAAATACATTGAACAGGTCAAGGTTGAAGGTGCACGACCACCTGTCGAACCCAAACCCCTCGTACTGCCAACAGACGAAGACGAAGCCGACCAACCGCCCGCTGTTCCAACGAAAACAACGGTAAAAAGTGTTCGATAGTTAAACATACCTGGGATAAAAGTGTGCACATCCGCGAAATTAATGCATATACTTTATACGGAGTTAGCTGATAGCAAAATAATATTCATAATGTTTCTCACGCTTGAACTTCCGTGTCTACTTCACAGAATAGAACATTTCCAAATGCTTTTTGCATTTTCATATGAAAATTGCATGAAGTGTTAAAGTCAAGGCAATGTAAATGATATGAGAGCCTACTGCAAACTTCATTCAATAAACTTCTTGTTGTAGCAGTCTGTGATCGTTTATCATGAAAAATTGAGCCCTCTCCTATTTCAGGCCATGGCTGAAGAGGTTGCAGCGTAACGGTACAGCTGAAGTTCGAACGGACTGTTAAAAGCGATGTTGTATTTGTATCATTCTTGTACCTTCCTGAAATGCAATAGTTGTCGATTCTGTAGATCTATCAACTGATTGAAGCATCTTATTACTTTTCCAATAGTTCGACTAATATATTCGGGTGGATGTAGTCCAAACAAGTCGGAGGTATTCCATGACATCACCAAATGCTAGCATAACATTCAAACGAGTTGTCCCTAGTCATTGAACCTTGGACGAAGTTTCACTTGAGTTTATCGGCTGCAAAACATTCGAATATTACCTGAACTTATTCCCTCCAAGAAACTATCTAAATATTTCTTCATTCAGTAAGAAATTTTCCATATCAACAGGTTACTCCTAAGAGTATGTCGGGTTTGCGCTTAAGCACATCCATTCAATGTCGTTATTCTGTACTCTCACTATTATTCATTAAACTTTTTCGGTAATGAACTTGAATAAACGTCAAACTTATTCAAATCGATTTATTTCTCACATTGCAAAAAAAAAACTGATAACCCAGTGAAAATGTGATGAGAATCGCACGGAAACGAGCAATAGAAAAACGAATAAACATGCGACGATTGCAGTCGAAAATCACCAGATGAGTTGTGTTCGAGAATAAAAATATGAAAACGAAACAAAATTATCCTTTTTTGAGCCGTGAATCAACTGTTTCGATATTGTTTTAGTACGAAATCGGTGAGGGTCGTTCATTTCATTGGAGATCACTTCAACATTAGAATATCAAATGAGACAAACCAAAATGCCGCATTATATATGGCTTGATCGTATGACAATTTCGACTAGTTACTACAGACTGGTTCCCTGGTTGATGGTAATACTTCTTACCATCAGCTGTTTCATGGGTTGGATATAATAATAGTTTTCGTATAATCTCCTTTTACTTACGCTCGTAAAAATCTAATCCATAAATATTTTTCTGTAAATTATGATGCGATTTTATTAAACGCTGCGAAACTTCGTTGCGACATCATGCTTGCAAACTGATCCAAATACAGATGACTTGAACTGTTGAGCTACAATTATCAACTGCTAATAGTACCATCTGATTGCATTGATGACAAGAGCATGATAACGATCTGAATATAGACGAATAACACATTTGCCATCAGTGGACGATCATATGGTCACCATTGTCTGCACAAATTATTGTTCATTATAAATAATTGACTGGTACAAACTGAAATATTTTTCGGATGTGTGGTAAGCCGGTTGACGAGGATTTACTTGAAATAAGAGATCTGGCTGTACAAATAAATGTCTATGGTGTTTCGTACAAAAACGACAGAATGGATGTTGTCAATTGAGTTAAGTCAACAAATCAGTCAAGTGAAGCTTGTTCACTTCATTGTTAGCTCGTTGGATATCCGGATCTGGATATCTTAATAGTATAACATCAACTCTAGCCATCTATCCACAATCATCTCTATTTGTATTAGTGCATTTCTTCGAGTTGAAGCAAAACTTCGCAAATAAAGAGCACATACGAAAATGTTTCGATGCTAAATGTTGAGCTCAACTGTACGCTTTTAGTTTCATCCCATATTCTGCATCCTTCTTTGTTTCAGCTCTTTTCATTGACATCAAACTGAATCTTTGACATTATCAATTTTTTATTTATTCATCAGATTTTTGAAGATCATTCAGTAAGAATCATTGATACAGGTGACATTTACTGTTACGCATTTCCTTATGCTATAAGTGTTACAATGAATAAAAATAATATAAGTACCATTCGAAAAGTAACCAGTACTAACGTCAAAGATTGTTTAGCATAAAAACCCCATCATAATCATCATCGATACTCATTAGCAGTTTTTATTTTGCTGTGAACGAAGATATTTTCGGAATTTTCTTCATCTTTTGACTAGTAGTGTGATCGCTGTTGCGGGCAAATATGCGTTTGTGCAAGAAAACATATCTGAGGAGAAGCATGATGTGCGAATGAACAATGTACAGTTATTTTTGCCTGTAAAACATCCTCTATGACAACGTTGATACAGCAAAGTAGACTCGTGTAAACTGTACTACTTAAGTATTCACAAATATTCTCGTTCTCATAATAATGAGCAGCTCATCAATATAATAAGCGCATTTACTACATCAACCGTTTATTTAGCACATCCCGTTGTCTTGTTCACTGCACGGTATCAACACCCATCCGTTGTATCGTTTCTCGTCTTTGATCACAAACACAACCCATCCTAGAATATTCGCGTTCTTTTTACATCTGAGACTCAGGTATCGCGACACTGTCAAGCATTTGCTATTAGTTCTTATTATGATTTTGTTATCATTTGCTATGTCATACCATCATCAATTGATCCGAGCAGTTACGAGCAGCACTGACGTTGTTATAGGTCGTTTGCTTAGTTGCATGTTTCAGCAGATGCCGACTTACCGTATCATCCTCTCACTAGTAGAAGTTAACAGATTCATACTCTCGATGGCATTAACTACATAGAAACTGCTTCACTCAGCTCATTTTGATGTTACTTTTGATCGGCTGCTTCATATTTGATCGTTTGCAGATATTCTCAAATACATTGCTGCGGATCTCACTTCACGCTTCTCGTTGATAACATCTGAATATTCCACCACTACAAACAAGAGCAATGTCGGAGGAAGAAGAAATTGAAGTGTTCGTTTTCAAATTTTTGTGCCAGCTACAATCAACAGTCGAGTACTGTTCATTTGNTTTGAGGGTTTGAGGGTTCTCTTAAATATGAGCGAGGCTGATAATAAAATGAACTTTTTAGTGATAAGAACTCAAGCATACGGACTGAATTTATTCTAGATCCGAAGAAGAGGGTGAGGAAGAAGAGGAGGTGGCTGAGGAAGAGCACGAAGAAGAGGGAGAAGACGAACAGGAAGCCGAGCAAGCAGCTGAAGATCATGCAGGTGAAGCCACGAAGTAAGCATTCACCTTCGTGGCACTTTGTTTGAACAGAATTTCACCTACGGAATCTTCAGTTCCATCAATGGGAGCCTTTAGTATTCAAAGTGATAATCATTGAATTATGCAGAACAATTTCGATGATTTCTTGCTTAAAATGACATTCAAATGACATTGACAGTCATTTTGCAGTGTCTTCCAATTGAATTTGCTTAATTTTCTCCTTTTGTACAACCAACTGTATTGCGAATCTGACAAATCAATTAGTCAGCGAAAAAATTTTCATGAGCACCTACAGGACACGAGCTGCAGTGCAGCAAGAATCGAATGAAGCGGACTTGACCGAAGCCGAGAAAGCAATGCTGGTAGGGATTTGTGCATTGCTTCATTGTGTTTCCTATGAATCTCTCAGTTAAATGTAGGCTTGTCAAGTGTACGACAAAGACTCGTTGATGCATACCTATGCACGACTTACATTTTCACCTCTAACGCAGATCAGTGACATTTTTGATGAACATATCAATAGCATGATTATCAATAAGCGTACTGATAATGCTTTGACAGTACTAAAGAAACGATGACAGTAACACTGTTTGCGCGACCGATTAAACGTTACAGGCAGCCAAGAAACGTCAAGAAGAGGAAACAGCTGCAAAAATTCAAGATTATGAAGAACAACGACGTCTTGAGAGGGAGCGAGAGGAGGAGGAATTGAGGCAACTGAAGGAGAAACAAGAAAGAAGGAAACTGGAACGAGAGGAAGAGGAGCGAGAGTTCGCTGAAAGACGTAGACAGGAGGAGGAACGACACAGACAAGAGGAGGTACTCGCTGCTGTTCAATTGTTGAGTTTTTCAAGATTGTTGTACTATTAGAGAATGAGGAATTGAGATACGTTGCAAACTGATTGGTGGAGTTCTTTTTCAGAGAGTTATCGTTTGCTCTGTTCAGTTATCATTATTTTGAACACGTCCAAACAGTATCGCTGTCGTTATGAGATGATTGATGGATTCACTTTCAAAAGTTGTTGTTTGAAGGAGGAGAGGAGAGCTAAAATTGAAGAGGAGAAACGAAAAAAAGAGGAAGAAAAGAAGAAACGACAGCAGCTAGCGAGCACATTTGCTGGAACGCCTGGACAGACTGGCGGACGAAATTTTGTCATTCCAAAAAAGACGAGCGATAATGCAACCGAAAAATTCGGTAACATTGTACAGGTTGGTCATAATTGATGGATGTATGGGTACGGTACGAGGAGCATGTCTCTGACTTTAAAAGCAAGACGTGATCAGCAGTTTAGATCAATGCTGAATTCGTTAACGCCATCGTTGCGCATTCTTAAAACCATTCAGCAACATACGCAATGCACTTTCAGTTCACAGTTAGCTTATTTGAAGTATTTACGAATCTCAGTTTCACATCAAAAAATCTCGTATTCAACGCAGCATTCAATGCGCCGCACCGGATAAAAAGGCGTGTCCGTTATTTGATTGCTTAATGACATGCATCAAATGAACCGTAACGCGAATATCTGCACAAAAAGCAAAAATCCACTTCAATTGCTGCGTCATATATTTTATGTCGGAAATTCACTTTGAACCATTTTATATCAAATTTTATGGTTACTCCACTCAATTGTTCTTTTGCAATACTCTTCAGAAATTATTCATCTCTGAAACAAAATGAAATTGGTGAGTCTATTTTAAGTTAGCGACGAATGATATTATTCAACAATTTCTGCGAGAGCATTTGTTTGTCCACAAAATATTTTTGATGAATTAATATTCATTCACAACTATTCGACATTTGACAGCATTGATGTGAAATCCTTGAAATCGATTCTTCAATCTTACTGCTCTGATTTTTCGCATTCATGCAATCTCATCCGTGGTTTATGCAGGAACAAATTCGCATTCATTCAAAAACAAACTACTGAATTCTAAAGAACTCTCAAACGATATTGATCGCTCCGAAAACTTCTGGAGATTTTTCANTGAAATATCACCATTTTTCTACGACTGATCTCAAAGTCAAACATAGTCTGAATGGACAGTTCAAAAAAGAAGTAAGAATATTGAATTTGAAGGCAAAACAAGAGATGGGTATGACGAAAGAACAACAAGAGGAAGCGAAAAGGAATTATTTGGAATCAGTCCGTAAGACACTCGATTTTTCATCACTTTCGCCAGCTGATCTTAAAGAGAAAATTCGGCAAATTCATCAGCGTATATGTCGTCTCGAAGCGGACAAATACGATTTGGAGAAACGACACGAACGACAGGAATACGACGTCAGTTTGTGAATTGCAGTTGTCCGCTTATCAGTTGCTCACTTATTTCAACGAATTGCGATTCTTTACATTTGTCGCACAGTTTTCTGCTCAAACAAATTCATGATTTCCGAAATGAGTTGTTGAATTTGCAATGCTGCTTTCAATTACAGTTACGTGAATTGAACGAACGTCAAAGGCAAGTGGCTCGTAATAAGGCCTTGCAAAAAGGTGTTGATCCGGCTGATACGAATTCACGCTACCCGGTATTTCTTCGTCATCAATTCTTTGTCATTCTTCCTCTGTTCCTCTAAAATCTTCATCTGCCTCACATAATAAACACGAACGAAATTTTGATTCGGTATTAGTCCACAACATATCGGTGTAACCGTACGGAATGATTTTTTTCTGAAAACTCAAATTTACGCTTTTGTATAATTTTACTCCAAAATTTTTGCACTTTTGAGCAAATAA